GATTGGGATTGTTAACAATGTTAGCTTGCTTGGCTAATCAACACTCTTGGCACCAGCAGTCAGGAAATCAAAAGACTAATTGCATTGGAAAAATCTGCTGTCAGGCACTTCTCCAGGGACTGAGGAGCAGCGATGTAAGTCTAGAGACTAAGGTGCACCTGATCCAGGCCATGGTCTTTGCAGTTACATACTATGCATTAGAGAGCTGGGCAGTGACAAAGGATGACAGAAGAAGAATCAGTGCCTTTGAGCTGTGCTGGTAAAGAGTATTGAACCTACCATAGACTGCCACGAGAACAAACGAGTCTGTCTTGGAGAGGGTGAAGGCAAGTTTCCTCCTGAAGGCAAAGATTTTGAAGCTCTGTCTCACATGCTTTGGGCATGGTGCCAGAAGGGATCCATCCTTGGAGAAGGACATGCTTGGAAAGGTGGAGGGACAGTGCAGGAAAGGAAGACCCCAGATGAGATGGATTAACACTGTACCTGAAGTTGGAGTCACAGGCTCAGGATAGAGCAGGCTTCAGAACTTTTGCCCATAGAGTCGCTATGAGTCCAAGATGACTCGAAGGCACCTAACAACAGAAACAACGCAGGGCCTCCACAAGAGAAAGTCTGATAAACCAATTACAAAATGGGCAAAAGACATGGAAAGACTTTTCACAGAGGAAGACTTTTTGGATGGCCAACAGATACATGAAGGATTCCTTAAAATCACTGACAGTGAGAGAGATGCAAATCAGAATCACAATGAGATATCATCTCACTCCAATAGTGGCAGAGTTTAACAGCACAGCGAGTAATAAATGTTGGAGAAGATGCGGAGAGATAGAGACTCTTGCACACTGTTGATGGGGTTGTAAAATGGTACAACCACTCTGAAAGACAATTTGGAATTTCCTCAAAAAGCTGAACAAAAAATTCCACATCACCCAGCTATTCCACTGCTAAGAATAAACCTGGAGAAAATTAGATCTGAAACATAAATTGAGATTTGTACACCAGGGTTTATAGTAGCATTATTCACCATAGCAATAATATGGAAACAGCCCAAATGCCCAATCACAACCAGATGGATTGAGAAATTGTGGTACATTTACACTCAGGAACAACAATTTTGAAAAATACTACATAACTTGAGAGACTGGAGGCCGTTGTGCTAAGTGAACTAACTGTCTCACATATATTGCATAAAGCCATTATTGTAAAAATAGAAGAATAACCAGTAAAATGTGTATGGAGGACCAAGGGGTAAAGGGGTGGGTGTAGAGGGAAGATCACGGGATCGCATAATTTGGTGGGTGGAGGGGAGGGGGTGAAGGAAATGGGAAGGACCTGGCAGGTAATGGTGGGCATAGTCCAATGGTAATTAATTTTATAAAACACAGTGTATGGGAATGATTGTATAAAACATAATGTCAATGAAGGAAAGTGTGAAATACACACCAAAAAACCCTACTATGTACATGAATGAAACACAAAGCATATGAATAATTATATGCGTACCAATAAAAATACAGAGGTGGAAAAAACAAAAGATTAACAGCCTCTGAAACCCCAGTGAGGGGTCACTATGAGTCACAATAGACCAGATGGCCATGTTTATTTTGTGACTACTGTGTACTGTTGATGAGTGCAGCCAACGGTAAGGTTCAGGAGGCGAACCTACTAGTGACTTCCTGGGTCAAAGATGTGGCAGTCTCCTCCCTTGAAGATTACAGCCTCTGTAGCCCAGTGAGACTATGCCCCATCGGGTCGCCTAGTCAGAATTGACTTGACTGCAGGGGGATCAGATGTGGGATATTGTGCTAGTCCCCTGGCCTTTGGATTGTGGTGTTGATACCTTTGAAGTGTGGTATAGGAGCAGAGTCCTGAATAAACAATGGACTGCCAAACTACAAACAAATCTTTCTTGAAGGAAGTGCAGCCAGAGTGCTCCTTGGAGGCAAGGATGGTACAGCTTCGTCTCACTTACTTTAGACATATTTTCAAGAGGAATCAGTTCTTGGCGAGAGAAATCGTACTGGAAAAGGTAGAGGGTTGGAGACAGTGAAGAAGACCTATCATAATGGGCTTGAGTGTGACGGAGATTGTGAGGATGGTGCAGGATAGGGCGTAGCTCAGAGCTGTTGATCATAGGGTTGCTATGATTCAAGGTGGCTTGATGGCACATAATAACAATGAGAGCTCTGGTGGCTTCTTGCTAAAATATTGTGCTGCTAACACAAAGGTAAGTGGTTCAAATCCACTAGCTGCTTCAAGGAAGACAGATGAGCAGTCAACTGTCATGTGATCTACTGCCTCTGAAAACCTGCAGAGAGTCAGCTATGGGTTGGTTTCGACTCAGTGGCTAACAACAATAGCAATCCCCTGACTATCCCTTTTGGGACCCTCTGGTTACTTTGTTGTTCCTCAAACATGGCAAGACAAGCTTGTTCCCTTGCTTCTAAATCTTTCATTGCCTGAAGTATTTACTCTCAAAATCTTTGGGGTTTGTTTTTTTTTTCAATAAGACAGGTCTTTCTTGACCTCTCAATATTGAGACATGCCCCTGCCCCTGTCCTCCTTTGGTGCTCTCCTGAGTTTGTATTATGTTTTCTGTCTTTACCACAGCCTGACATGATACTGGCCCCTCCCGACAACAGGTCCAAAGTACGTGAGATGACGCTTCACCATCTTTGCCTTAAAGTAACATCCTGGTTATACTGTCTCCAAAATAGATGTGCGTGTTCTTTTGGCAGTCCTTAACACAGTCAGTACTCTGCCAGTACCAAACTCAAAGGTTCACTTCTTCCTTAGTCTTCTATATTCATTGTCCAACTTTCAGAGGCACATGAAGAAATTGGTGGCATGGTCTGTAGGGAGCTATGTGACTAACCCAGAGGCCATGCATCTCTGGCAATTTGAATCCACTTGTGACTTCATGGAAGAAAGATGGAAAGTCTCTCCTCCATGTCATTTACATTCAAGGAAACCCAAAGATGGTCAGCTTTGTATCTTTTTGAACTAAATAATAATGAGTAGTTATATTGTTGTTATTGATTGCCTTCGAGTGGAGCATGACTCATAGCAACCATATGAGCAAAAGGCCTGAAACCTTTCTGTAACTATTGCCATTTATCAAAGTTCATAGTTTCCAGAGGCATGCTGTTTAGGAAGTGGATGCCACTCCTGCTTCCAAATGAGATTCACTAGGCTACAATTAACACAAAGCACAGATATAGTAGTTTTATAAATATGTTAAACACTGAATTAGAAGTAGGTAAAAGCTGCTATTGGAGCGCTTAAATGGAAGCATATTGCTCTTTGAAGGGGTAACCAGAAAGGCTTGTTTCATAAAGGGTCCAGTCTTGAAGGATGAGCAGGAGTTTACCAAGTGAAGAAGTGCTTTAAATTCTTATATGAATAATGATCATACTTAAAAACAATATGGAAGGAGCAATGATTTTTAAAAAAATACTACGTAACTTGTGAGAGACTGGAAAACATTGTGCTGAGTGAACGAATTCAGACTTATAAGGACAAATACTGCATAAGACCATTATTGTGAAAATAGAAGTATGACTAGTAAATCATGTATGGAGACACAGGGGGAAGAGGTGGGGCAGAGGGATGTGGATGGGTAGGGGTGAAAGCACAGGGCTGCACAATTTGGTGGGAGGAGGGAGGGTGTGAAGGAAATGGGAAGGATCCTGCGGGGACCTGAAAAGACAGAGTACTGAAAGGCAAGGTCCGTTGGTGATGAATTTTATAAAACATAATGCAGGGGAATGATTGTATGAAACACAATGTGCATGAAAAACAGTGGGAAACACAATGTATATGAACTTTGTAAGCAAACCAATGTAAAATTAAGGAAAATAAAAAACCCTCCAAATACAGTATTGAATCACTCTGAGCCAAGATGTAGCTCCAGTGAAGGAAGAGAACAGTGAATGCAGGCCGCCCTCCCTGCTGTGGCTCAAACAAAACTCTTGGAGGTTGGGGTTAAAGGAGGTTAAATATGTAACGTATTGATAACATCTGGTACACAGTAAGTACTCAGTACAGGTTTGCTAAGGAGCCTTGTGCTGCAGTAGTTAAGTTGGGTTCCTGGTTGAAAGGTTGGCTGTAGGAACCTGTCAAACCCTCTACAGGAGAAGAATGTGGCAGTCTGTTGTTGTAAAGATTAGAACCTTTTGTGTAAAATGACAAAACGGGGGAAAAAAGTTAATTTTTCATCTGGTTCATTTGCAGTGGTTCACTGAAAGCAGTGAGGTGGAGATCTGAAAAGCAGCATGGCGTAATGAAAGCTGTTTACCGAAAGATCTGAGGGGATCACCTAGTTTCCATCCGCTTTTTCTAAGAAAGGCCAGCTGTGGATATTAATTGCATTTTAATGCTTTCTGATAAACATTGACCCAGCAAGCTTTTTTAGATGACTAACTTTCTAATCTGCTTTGACATTTCTTCAAGGTGCTGCAAACAGTGATTTGTTCGTAGGTTTGAAAATATGTGTAATTTGTTTTAGTGAAGAAGGTTTTGAAATATTCTGTAGAATTTGATCTAAGTGGAATGGAGGCTAAATCGGAGGAATGGGCAAGTGGCCTTTCCTCTCCTCAGACACCAGGTTGCGATTGTAGGACTTTATGGGATGTTTGAGCAAAGTACATGAGCTTCGCCTCCTTGCTATCGGTGATCTATTTCAAGTGGACCTTATGAAAAATTAGGAATTTTTAAAATTTTCTTCCTTTTTATACAAAAGGTTCTAGGGATCTCTAGTGGTGACTTAGTGGTAAGGAATTGTTCTGCAGAGTCCACCAGCTGCCCCACAGGGGGAAAATGGACAGTCTCCTCCCATGCGATTAGCTCCCTTGGAAAACCCACTGAAGGGTCAGCTCTGTGTAGCTTCCGACTCGATGGAGCCCAATCACAGCAACAACCACTTCTATCACTGTTAGAGAAAATGTAATAGTGGATTTGCTGCTCTTCTCCTTTCTCAATGACGCTTTACATATTTCTAGGTTTATAGTGTTGATTGGAGCCAAACCAGAGGTGAACAGCTTGTGGTGTCTGGCTCGTGGGATCAGACTGTCAAACTGGTATGTCCACTTTACTGTTTTTGAAAACAGACTCTCTTCCTCAAAGCTTCCACTGAACTCTTCTTGACTCTTCTGTCATTTCATTTGGACAGCTCATATCTTTATATATTATAATATTTAATTAACATTTTCTAACAGTCTTCTGTAATTATTAGCTCCTCAGCATTGCTTAGTTGAGTCTCTTAGATAGTGTCTTGCTTTATAGAAAAGCTGACTTCAGTAAAGTCCTTGAAAGTTTGTATGTTTATATAGTGTGCCTGTTTTACGTGTATATGCTATGTATATTCAAGCATGTATTTTACCTGTTTAGTAACTTACATATTTATTTTAGTGGGATCCAACTGTTGCAAAGTCACTGTGCACTTTCAGCGGCCATGAAAGTGTCATTTACAGCACAATTTGGTCTCCCCACATCCCTGGTTGCTTTGCTTCCACCTCAGGTAAGTAAATACTCACCTACCTGCTTATTAGCAAGAGCCTTGCTTCAGTGGATGGTGAGAGTGCATGCCCCAGTAGGTGGTGCTGTGTAGCTTTGAAAACAGTATTCTCTTGCTCTTCTCTGCCTTTAGTCTGTTCATTCTTGAGCAACCTCTTGACAAGAATTAACTGAGGAGTGGATTGCTTTTCAGTGATTCTAACAATTTAACATGTTTGTGTTTGTTGAGATAAGGGGAGGGCAAAAATCAAGTGAGGGATTTGGCAAGAGGCTTACTTTAAAAGTACAGTCTCTTCTACTCACTAGCTGTGAGGCCTCAAGAAATAGGAGGCAGTTTCCTTCTCAGCTGGATGAGGTTAATAGTGTTAACTCGTGAATAATGCTGCTTTGAACGCTGGTGTGTACAAGTCTCTGTTTGTGCCTCAATTCTCATTTTCTCAGGGTGTATTCCAAGCAGTGGAATATGGAATTTCTATGTTCAGCTTTTTGAGGAAATGCCAAGCTGCCTTCCAGAGTGGTTGTACCATTTTGTTGGGTGAGGGAAGGATGGGTAAAGGAAAGGGGAAAGATTTGGTGTTAAAAACAATGTATATGAACTCTTTCAGTAAGCCAGTATAAAAGAAAAATGTTATTTAAAGAGATAGCATTAATTCATGAAAGATAGGAACTATGTAAAAGGCTAACTTCTCTAGTTCACTTCTTTCTCTTGATGGCTGTTCTTTTTTTCAGGGATGTTAGCAAGGATTTCTTTAGTATGATATTTTACTTGGCAATTTGCTTTGCCCCTCATGTAGAAACTCTAAGGAAGGGCAGATGCTTGCATTTATGTGCCTCTGGTTTTCAGGTCTCCATCTATCAGAATGTTGCTATTGGTCCAGCAGTGAGGATTTTTTTTTCTTGATGTTGAGATGTAACGCATATTGAGGACTGTAATCTTTGACCTTCTGCAATAAGTGCCTCAGGTCCTCCTTGCTTTCGGCAAGTAAATGATATGTATTTTATGCTCTTGGTGTTCTCGTTAGGTGGTGTTGAGTCACTTCTGACTCATCATGACTCTTTGTACAACAGAACAAAACACTGTGGAAGGACCAGGCAGTATTATCCCTGTGTAAATCCACTTGCCAATTGGTAATGTAGTAGCTAGCCAGTCTTCTTGCTGAAATTAAAGAAGATCTGAAGCACTTATCAAAGACTACGGTTTTCAATAAGGATTACATCTCTACATTAAGAAAGGAAGCATCCTCACTACTAGGCCTAGGCAACATCATGATAAATAAAGAACTGAAGTTGCCAGTGATTGCATATTACTTGCATCTGTAATCAGTACCCTTGAAACCAGCAGTCAGGAAATCCACAGATACATTGCATTGGGAAAATCTATCACAGATCTTTCCAAAGTTCTAGGGAACATCTATGCCAGTTTAAATACTAAGGTGTGTCTGATCCAATTCATGCTCTTTTCAGTTACTTGCTATGGCTCAGACAGTTGGTTAGTGAGTAAAGGTGACAGAAGAAAAATCAATGCATTTGAGTTGTGTTTGAGAAGAATATTGAATATCTCATGGGCTGTCAAAAAAGCAAATAAATATGTCTTTGAGAAAATCCATTTAGGGTGCTCTTTCAAGGCAAGGACAGTGAAATTTTGTCTTATACTTTGAGCATGCTGTTAGCAGGGACTAGTCCTTGGAAAAACACATGCTTGGTAAAGTGGTTGTTGTGGTTGTTATGCGCTGTTGAGTTGGAACTGACACATAACTGACCCTCCATCAAGTTTTCAGAGGCAGTAAGTCATGCAGGAGGAGTTACCCATCTTTTCGTTATCGAGCAGCTGGTGGATTTGAACCATGTGATTTTGGGTTGGCAGCACAGCACTTTACTACTAGGTCCCCAGAGCTCCCTTGGTAAGATGGTGGAGAAGAAGACCCTTAACAAGGTGAGTTGACATAGAGACTTAAAACAGTGGGCTCAACTATACCAGAGATGAAGAAGATGGCATAGGACAGAGCAGGGTACAGATCTCCTGTTTGCAGGGTCACTGTGGGTCATGGTCAAGTTCCTGCTACCTAACAACAACAGTACCCAGTCTTCATTTGTGTGCTCTGACTCAGGAACGCCTTTCTCCCTGCTAGCTTCCTCTGGGTCATACCCTGAAGCTCTCTCCTCACCCATTAGTTTAGCTTCTCTTCCAGCAATCTAGTCCATCTCTCTTCCATTTTCCTGATGTTACATGAAAAAGTTTAGTAATAGAGCCTTTCTTGTCATTTGGAATTAGAATTCATGTGGTTAACACTAGGGAATATTAGTCCCTTATGGAGAGTAATAAAATATTTGTCACATCATGACTTTTTGTGATGTGAATCAGAAAACACAAATGTTATTTATTAATTAATAAGTATGATTTTTATCAGATAGCTCACTGCCGGTTATATAAGCCCTAAAAATTAGGCCCTAATCTAGGTCTTTTCATTGCCTGCAGAACTGTTTTGCTAAAATGAATTTATCACTTGGTTTATTTATCAGAACAAAGGTTGCTAAGATTGAGTAATAGTTATGAGAATGTAACATGCTAATTAATTGTATTTGTGATCAACAAAATGTCATCCTCTTTTCTTTTTGCATCTTTTGTAACTTAAATAATATATGCATATATAAAGAAAAGATAAGAATAGTATGCCAGATAACCCCTATTCTGACCATATGCGGATCTGAAAATTCAAAAGACACAGAAACGTGCTGTGATGAAAGAGCCTTCTTTCCCTGTTACCGTCTAGGATAGCCATTTACTGACGTTATTCTGCCAGAAAAATTCATGTACCCATTATAGAACTTACGATGCAGAGAACAAAAACTATTTTTGGAGCATGTTCTTAAGGAAGAAAATAAATCTCAAAAACTATATTTTCTTAGTGATGTTAGGTTTTATGTTGATCGGTATAAATCCCTTTGTTGTCAAAATCCTACAGGAAAAATAACTGTGTTTATGAGTCAGAAAATCTCCCATCCCCATCCTCTTTTCTTGCCATTGAAAGCAGTGCTGTTTTGTTTTGTTTAAATTGATTTTGATTGTATAGGCTTTTAGGAGTTTCTGTGCAACATTACAGCTAAACTGACTGAATCATTGCTCACTTAAAAGGGGGTGGTTCCTGAACTTCAGTTTTGAATGGAATTGATGTAAGAAAACATTTTGTTGAATTATTAGTTTGAACTTATGAAATTAAAACAAATTTAAAATAGAATATTGAGTACAAAACATTCTTTTATTTAGTGTACCACCAGCAACAAAACACTCGGCTAACAAAAGTTTTTGGAATGCCAGTTCGTCTTAGTTGCTATAGCAGATATGCCACAAGTAGGTAGCTTTACGCAAACACATTCATCTTCTCATAGTTAAGAGGCTAAAAGCCCACTTTCAGGATTCCATCTGTGTGTGGATGCTGGGGAAAGGTCTTTGTCTCTCTTTAGTTTGCGTTTCTTGTTTTCTTGTCAAGCAATGTGGCATCTTTTGTCCTTTCCAAACACCCCTACACCAAAATCTCTGCTTGCTTATCTCTTTGAGCCCAATTTACTCTTTATATCTCAATGATGATTGGGCTTAAAACAGACCCCTCACTGATGTAGTGTCTTAACATCACCAAGAATACCTACTCCCAGATACAATCATAGGCAGAACCGTAGAGGTGAGGATATTACAGCACATATTTTGGGAGGCAGAATTCAGTCCTTAACACAATTCCTTCCCAAACACTCTGACACTTCAGCATATATAGTGTTTCATTTTTTTGTTTAGTATATTGAGTGTCATTGAAACTATGAAGAATTAAAGGGCAGAGATGCTCTGCTACTTTGTCTCCTTTGTTCTGTTTCATGTTGCCTTTTGCTAGACGGATAAATGGAGCCCTGGTGACTTCGTGGTAAGGAGCTGCACTGACAGCCCTAAGGCAGGGCATTTCCCCAGGAGAAAGATGGGTAGTCTCCTCCTGTGTGAACTCTTGCCTCTGAAAACACACTGGAGGGTCAGCTACAAGTCACTTCTGACTTGATGGTACATGTTGTTGTTGTTGTT